TGCAACAACGGGAGTCTCATGACTGAATATGTCATACTTTCAAGTGTGCACTAACCATAGAAAGACTTGCAAGGCATTAACACCATGAACAATTAGGTATCATCATCACGATATTGTGCAAATTTCCACCTCATAGAAGATGTATGGCTGCTTTAAATTTTTCACACCAGCAGTTCGGAACTCCCCCAACAGCACGGGTCTTCAAGTACGACGATGGCACCATACTGAGACTATCTGTGGACTGCCCAGCAGAAGGACCTAAATCACCGAAAGATGAAGAAACCATCAATTCATCGTCGTTTCTCGAAGCACACCAAAGGCAAAAGCCACTCTGTAATGTAAAAGACAAAACACACAAAACAAAAACATAGTCCTATTTTTCAGAGAATTTAAAGAAATGAATTTGGGAGGATTTCATACAAAGTCACGCAGTATTCATCTACAGTTCTGGTCAAGCTTCTGGAAATCTGTTTCATGTAGCTTGGTAAGGAAATTTTGAGTCATGGGTACAGGACCCTTTACATGTAAGACCTATTGCTTATGCAATTTGGAATCTTCATTTTGGTCAACTGGCTGTGGAAGCTTTTACTCAAGGAGGTACTCTTGGCCAAGTAAATATCGCTTATTTTGGTGTTTATCAGTGGTGGTATACAATTGGTTTACGCACTAATGAAGATCTTATACTGGAGCTCTTTTTCTATTATTTCTTTCTATTGTATCCTTAATAGCTGGTTACACTTATAACCAAAATGGAAACCAAGCATTTCATGGTTCAAAAATGCTGAATCTCGTCTTAATCATCATTTGTTAGGACTCTTTGGCATAAGTACCTTGGCTTGGGCAGGGATTTGGTGCATGTCGTTGTTCCGGGATCCAAAGGGGAGTCCGTTCGATGGAATAATTTCTTAGATGTATTACCACATCCCCAAGGTTTAGGCCCTCCTTTTACAGGTCAGTGGAATCTTTATGCTCAAAATTCGGATTCAATTAATCATTTATTGGTACCTCCCAAAGAGCAGGAACTACCATTCTAACCCTTATCGGGGGATTCCATCCACAAACACAAAGTTTATGCCTGACTTATTATAAGATAAAGAATAAAGATGTGGCAATCAGAGGAGCTAATACAATGAAGCATCATATGAATTTTTGGAGCACAATATAGTCACTAATTTGCGTTTGTAAGTAATTGTAGTGTCAAATTAGTGAACAAATCAATTAGGCCTGCCAACAAGCTATATGTGGTCAATCTAAATATCCCAAGCTGAATGGTAGATATACCACGCAATAACCATCTAGGCTAAAACTTGATTCAATCTTCAGATCTAATTGCGATTGGTCAAAATTCAACCACGCGAACAACCCAATATTCGCCTTAGCTTAACTTGGTGCTACATTACTCTCCCCAACCACCAATAAGGTAAATGTGCATCAAAGAATTCATGGTCAAATGCGACAATTAATATCAAAAGTATCACCTACTAGCATGTTTATATTTTTAGCTTCTTTTTCTTCTCCCCCTGGTTGTTTTAGATTCTATTGGCAACTCAAACTTCCAGACTTTTTCTTCTCCCTTTCTTGGGAAGACAAATAGGTATTTAGGCAAGTTCGCACACAATCAATTCTCCCAGTCATGTGCCAAACCCCCCCCCCCCCCGGGGGGGCAGGGACCAAACAAACAATCCATAGGCATGGGACAATAGTCAGATGGAATCCATATGGGGTGTCCCCATGGTAGAGGTATTGAATTCAGTGTCATCTTGAGGCAGTGTCTTGGTTATCTACATGTGGAATCTTTCTGGAATACTCATTAATCAGGCTATTAATTCACCTGGCTGATAAATGCACTTCTGGTCTGTCAATGCTTAAAAGAAAAGAATAATTACTTGAAATATATAGTCTTGAAAAATTAAAAGTGGACCTAGTGAAGAATATTTCTAAATGCCTCACAATAGTTGTGCACATTCGATTAACATCTTTCAATTCACAACTTCAAAAAAAGAAGAAATTAAATATTTTTATTTCCAGTTTACTAGTACAATTTTGATGCAAATTGTTTGCATATGTATATCAAGTACCAAGTGTGTGTCTTTACTGAGTTGACAAAAATCTGGATAAGGGTATTTTGGTCATTTCAGAATTTAATCCTAAAAATTGTTCTAGCTGAACCTGAATAAGGGCTTTTTGGATCTTTTGCAACAAAGATTATATATAACTCCGTTTGTGTCGAGTTGTAGTGCCTATCTTTTAGACTGCTGATCCCGAACCTAGATAAAGCACAAGGGGGTAAAATGAAGTTTGCCCTAAAAAAATTATGGTTGAAACCATGATTAGGAGAAAATTAATATATCATGTTTATAAACTTTACTGTACCAGAAATGATAGACATAGAAATGGAGTTGGCATAATAATATATTAAAATCATAAGCAAGAAGTAATAATTACTCTTATGAAATGAGATAAAATAATATTAATTAAGCTTGTAATAAGAGAAGATATAATAGATATTATTGTACTTATAGAAATACCTACAGGAGAGATAATACACTTCGGTTAAAACTTTAATGGTCATATAGGACAAGATCAGAGAGGATATATGATTCATGGTAGACTTAGGTTTGGAGATAGGAAGGATGACGGGTAGTCTTTTTAGATTCTACAGTAGCATGACTTCATGAATTTAGGGCTGGCAATCGTGTGGATCTAAGGGGGTTCATGCTAAAATTAACTCAATCCATACACGACTCATACCTCACATATTGTTTCAGGTCTTAATAATTGACTCATTGCTCGATTGGTCTTGCCAAAAGTTTCATTGTATACTTCATTGATTTAATCCCTTTGATAATTTGTACAACTAAGTTTTCCACTCATTAAATAATTTCCAGCTTCCTATAATCTTACAACAAAAACTTTATTAACCAACTCACTCTGACATGCAGCAAACACTTCCAAGCCCCAAATCCAATCACATCTTAAAGTTTTTCAAGATTTCACATTCTTTACTACGAACACTCTTATTCAATGAAAAAAACGTGTTTTCTCTAATCTCCTAATAATCACTATATTCTTCAACACCTAAGCTTCTTATATGATTTTTATTTAAAAAATGGTAAATATAACTTTTTCTAATTACCTCATTTTGTATTAAGACTCTTGAATCCTCGTTTTTAATGCATTTCATATTAATATACTTAATATGATTAAAATTCCTAATGTTTCTTACTCTTAACTTAGAAATATATATTTATTCATTTCTTTGTTCTTTGCTATACACTCGATACTTAACATTTCCTACTGTTTTTAATATTCTCTCGTGAATGTATAATTTTTGAAAATTTTCTACTACGATTTGACTCTCATAATACCAACACCGAGTTTCTTTAATAGCCAATAATCTTTTTATTTTCCAAGCATATCTTTTGATATTCCTTTAATATAATCTATGATTGTATCCTACATTATGTTAGCTTTATCTTGAAAATTTCATGTTATTCCTAAGTAATCCTATTTTCTCTTCTCTTGAATTTCATCATCTAACTTTATGATTCTTAATCTATTTTCTTATTGTTGAATATCTTTTCTTGATCTCTCTCCAAGAATAACCATTTAATCTATATTGTTTTCCACTTTTTAGCTAAGAAGAAATCTATTTGACTTATATTTGATCAAATTGATGGTTATTAAATGTTCTTTTCTCTTTTCAAAATATGTATTTTTTATCGTGAGACCATGCACAACTAATAAATCTAATATAAGCTCCCCCAGCATTATTCCTATCTGCAAACTCATATTCAGATACACCATGTCATACCCTCCTTGATTATTTCGTGTACCGATAAAAAACCTACTTGTATGTGGATGATCTCTACAAGTATTCCATGATTTTCTAAAAACAATCACAATTAAATCTTACACCTCTGAGAATCCTTCCCTATGAAATTAGAAAAGCTTTAAAAATATTTAGAACTGAGTTCAACATAATAAAAAGAGTTAACTATCTATTTAGCCTCTAAACGATATCATTTGTTCTATCAAGCCCCTCAACTATGTTTTGTGTCAATTTAGCCCCTGATTTATGCAATCAGACTCAATATGACCTTTCCTTCCAAATTCGCTACAAAATTTGACTAAACTCTTCATGTGCACATCACGAGGCCCTTGAACTACCTACTCCCTGACTCCCGTGAGAATTTTCATCAAAGTTAACAGCAAATTTGGATATAAGGGTCACATTGAGTCAGATTGTATAGTTCAGTGGCTAAATTGATACAAAACATAGTTCATGACTTAATTGACATAAATGGTATAGTTCAGGGGCTAAATAGGTGGTTAACTCTTAAGAAAAAGATCGTATAAATAAGATTATTTTTATCTCTATGTGTTTACATCTTTGCAAGCACGCAAAGGGAGGGAGGCCGCTGCAGATGGTTGATTATATTCACTATCTATTCCTATTATAAAGTGGTAGTCTACCGTTTCTCTGTTAGTAAGTTAAATTCCAAATATACCCTTGTAAATTAGCTAGTGTATTTAGACACTGAGGAGATGGACCCAGTATATTTAATTGCCAACAAATTCATGACAACCTTTATCTAGTAGATGGATTTTTACAAGTGAACAAATGAGAATGATGTATAAAAGGAGTTGTACACGAGTTTGGTAACGCATTCACCTTTCGGTTGTACTCCTTAAGCACAAAACTAAAGCAAATAAAGTCAATGAAAATGCAAGCCATCCGTTATAAATGAAAAAAATACTGTCCAAAGATGTGAGATCCTGTCTCTCACACAATATCATCAATTCAAAGCTATATAAAATGATAACCCTCCAAATACATACAAAAAACAATGTTATACACATCACAAAAGTCAGATAATAAATCATAGCATGCTTAGGAGAGTCAAAAACGTATAAACCCAAGTAATATTGCACTAAATAGGTGTTGTTAGGAACTATAAGCACACTTGCCGTGCTGGCCTTTCCTTGTCATCAGACTTTTAGAAATGCATAATATTTGCTGCATGTTGGAACTTGTAAATATAGTGTAACATCTTAAGAAAGAATATGGGCATACCTGCCATGGATAAGCATGTTCTGGAACTCCTTTTCTTCCCTCCATTGACAGGAACCAGGCTCTCAACATAATTAAGGACTTTAAAGAAGTCCATTGCCCCATGAGAGGGGAAATAATAAATTTCTTGGCTGCTAGAATCATACAAGAACAGCTGGTAAGTACAATGGTGCAGATATTGAAAGATAATCTCGTCTTTTCTCCAAATTCCAACAGGCCACACTACTGTTGAAAAAGGTCCAATAGTGAATTTAGTCCATGACTCTTGCACACCATATTCCGTCATTAACCATACCTCGAAGGATCTATCTACCAAATCTCTCCAAGAATAAACAATTACAGCCAGGGATCCCTTTAGAACCACAATTTCCCTCTTGATATTGCAGTCAAAACCACAATAACCGGGCACTGCTATCTGTTGGAATACCTCATTACTCAAGTCGAATGAAATGATAAGCTCCATCTCGGTATGTTTGTATGCCATCCAATGCAAAAACCCATTGAAAGAAGTAGCCCCAACTCTAAAACTCATATCCGGGACAGCAGCTTGTATTACTTTCCAAGAATCTGAACTCGAAGTGTAAATCGAAACTGGGATGGGACCTCCACCATAATCCTGTCTGCGTAATGGATACGGAATTTTCACCACCTTGTAATCATTCTCATCCGGTAAAAAACCAAATCCTATTATGTCAAACTCCTCATTCAGCCAACCATCAACATGGGGAACCATGGTAGGCCTAATTTGTCTTGTTGCGGGATTCCATAAGACAATGGCGGACCTTCCATCAAGACTGACGCAAACCAAGCCATTACATGAGCCCTCAACAATCACAGTCACTTGATCACTAGGAATATATGGGAATGGTAAAGGTATTTTTACAGGCACTTGATCAAAAGAATACAAGAAAATATCAGGTATAGGATCATCAAAGTCGATACTCACGCCGAGGAGTTTAGGTGTATAAACATTGGAATAATGAAATTGCATCAATATAAAATCTGGGTCTGTGAGTAAATCGTACCAGGACTTACAGACGGACCTGAATTGCAGCAAAGACTTGACGGGAAGTCTTAAGAGTATATTAACAATGATATCTCCAGGAAGATTGCAGCTCAGAAACGGCTCTATATCAATTTGATGGCTCATGGAGTATGTAATTGGGTGAAGAAAATAGACAGATTAGAAAGAAATTTGAAGATCTGAGTAAATAAAGGAGGTGAAGCACTGCCTTTTTACGCTGCTCTTCCGGATGAGGAAGCAGTAGCGCTGTTGTAGGAATGTGAACTGTCGTAGTGGGACACAATCAGAGAGGGGCCCTTTGACTTTGAATAGTGCCATCGTGGACTCCACAGACGACCCCCACCCCATGTAGAGGCGGTTGAACAAGCAGTTTGAGATTTTTGATTCAACACCGCTAGGCCGACAAACAACTCTCACAATTTTGCTTATTGTTTCTGAAACTACCTCAATTAAGCCTCCCAAGCGTATCTGTTGAAGTGTATTTATGTCAAGTTCTATTAAAAAATACTTCATTTATATTAGATTTGATTATTAATTTAAATTTAATATCAAATTTGTATAGTATATAAATTATATATAATTGGTATATAAATGATTTTTATTATTTATCTTTTAATTGATTTCATTCGTATCTACTTTTATTAATCATGTCATTTCGAATCCATTCGTTTACAAGTGGTTTAAGAAAGACCTTAATATTATGTTAACAAAGATTTCTTACCAAATTTTCTATCTCACGTGATATGACACGAGTTTTACCATCAAATAAGTAGATTCTATTAAAATTTAGTGATTATTATGTCACATCATTAGAAAAAAAAAATTTGATAAAGTCTGTTTGGTAAATCAGATAAAAATTATGACAGATAAACTTTTTATCCTCGAAGGAAAAAAAATTATTTTTTCTTCTTTTTGTTTGGTATAAAGAATAAAAAAATATGAAGAATAAATTTTTTATTATTTTATGTGGTATGAGAAGATAAATGAATAAAAAATGGCAAAAATATTACCATAATTAACCTTCTATATGGGAGATATTTATTGTAACTTTCGTGCACCCCACTCTAAAATCTAATGGTTAAAATGGTAATTTCAAAGAATTATTGCACCAACCACTTTTTTTTCCACTTTCCATCCATTTATGGAGTGATGAAAAATGCTGAGCGGAAAAGATACATTTTCCACCCACTTTTCAATTCCCCTCAATTTTCCTAGAATACCAAATAAAAGGAAAATGTCATTTTTCATTTTCCATTAAACCAAACAGACTATTAGTAAGTTTTAACGGGCCAAACCACGTCAGACTATTCTTTGATTAGGCAAGGCTCATCAATCGGCAATTGAGTTATGCATGAACTCGGTGTTGAAACCTTGAGGCTCACGTAACTCAATTTATCTATGAAAAATGACATCCATAGCAAGATTGCAGCTATTTCCAGTGTTTGGAATCATGATGAAGCCTTGCTTGGCCAACATCTAAGCAAGGCTAGAATTCAGTCCTCATGTTGAGTGACTTTCTTACAACACCAACCAACAAATTATTCGTCTTTAACTCTAATTTAATTCATTTATTTACATTAACTAATATTGTCGCTTTGACATTCATGTCATATGAAATTCAATGTTCGTTCGTGTTAAGAGATAAAATTTACACCCCTTGGCCTACAGTGGTTCTATGAATTGATTTTACCATGTTTTCTTTTCTGGTTTGGTGTCATTAGTTTCCTGGACTGTGGGGTGAGTTTTTCACTCCACTTTTGATTTCTATATTACCCAATAATCAGTTCTCTTCTGCCAAAATAAAAGGCAGTGGCCAACATGGTTTTCATTTTTGATTTTATTTTTTGTTTCTTAATACTCTTTTATTGCGCTATTCGTGTGGAATGGATGATGCACAGGTCCAAGTGGTTCAGCCTGATATAGAGGGACTGCCATGTCGATTAGAAGATCTTAGATACCTTTTGCAGCCATAATTGCATCAAAGTTATAACAGAATTAATCCTTCATCGTTCCTTTGAAATCTCACTCCACACCAAACGATGAAACTTTCACAGCCTTGATGCCATATTTTCTGCAACTTGATTTCCTTCCTTCCTACAATGGGTCAACTGGTTATCAACAAGTATAGCACTAGATTCACACCTGTTTCATTTCATCTACACCCTCTCCATGAACCAAGTACATAGCATTCATGATTGGCAGTTAGCCAACATTGGGGCCATGGATGAATTCCTAAAAGCCGTAAATCTTGAATTTTCTTATTTACAATGATTTGCATTACTCGAACACTAAAAAAATGAGACATGAATAGAGGGTTAACAAACCAAAATTCCGGGATTCAATCATTGCCCCTTTGTAGTAGCAAGCTGCTTCTTAAGGTTCAGGACCTCAACACCGTAAGAAGCCAATTGATCCTTCAGTTTTGCTGAAGCCGCCGCATATTTCATGTTCATGAATTCCAACTCATCCACTGCCTCCATGTATCTAACACGAAACACATCCAATTTGGTTTGTGCCCCTCGAAGCCTCATTCTGAGCTTTGCCTTTTCCTTATTGTTGTTAACCTCGTCCTGTTTATCCACATAAGAAGTGTTAGATGGGATTCTTTTTTTTTTCTCCTCTTGTAAAATGATGTACACCTAGTAAGAACAATGCAAAACAAACTGACACCCAAACTCAATTATATCCACACTAACGAAGGCATTTCGTGTGGTTAATACATGGTCTGAAATCATTTGAGTATCATTATTTTTACAATTCCATTTTCCACATCAAAAGCAGGTAAAAGATCCTTCATGTGGTGGATTATGTCTCCCTGCACAATTGTCATCTGTCTGGTGAAGCTATTAAACAAACCACACTTGGAAATGAGCAGTAAATGCAAGTTGTATACAAAAAGTTAAGGAGACTGAGTCAATCCTTCATTCAGAGAAAAAAAAAAGTGATAGGCACTAGCAATAGTGCATCAACCAATCAAAATAACAAATGTGAGCAATTGAGAGAGGACAGGACAATGTGCAGATATATCGCTTGCAAGTTAAAGGCACAATCAATTTACTGGCATACCAACTGAGGCAATGAGCTTCATGGTATATAAATAGATCACTCATGAATATGGTCGCAGGAGGATATTTTTCTTCCCCGGAAGATTATTTAGAAAGGAATTTTTCAACTTGTCTAGGAGGTTTTCAATACGAAATGTAGCTCTAATTTTGGAATAATGTGCTGCTAAGATAATGGAAACTGTGGATCATATGGACCATCTCATTGTGATTCAAATAGTTCTGAAACCACTTAAATGAAGATAAGGTTCATAAGAGTACAGGTTACTGATATCTTAGAAGCCAACCCTTAAATGTAGGCCAATAGATAAGGAAACTAAACTCTAAACATATGTTCAAATACTTCCAGTGGACTTTGTAACTCAGTCTCCAATTATAACAACCATTTTAGGGTTCAACATGTTGCACATGTTGCATTCCCAACCACAGATCTTTTCACATTGGGGGCCAGTAGGATGACTCGGGGCGTTTACTGCAAAAAGCTTCAATATCAATAATCAAACCATTTTTAGAAACTGAACCAAAATTTTGAAGACATATGGCCTATTCTATAGTGGGAGATGCAAACCCATAGCTGCAGGAGAAAAAAAATCAACTAAATGGAGGCTTACATTGTGCATCTTGACTTCCAAGCTGGATATCCTCCCAGTCAGCTTCTCCACTTCAGCGTTTAACTTTGCTAACTGAAAGGAAAGAATGACCAAAATACCCTGTTACCCTCAAGTAAGGAGCCAAATGTGCAAAGAAACTTCCAATCAACTTAATGCCAGAACAAATTTAGCACACTCAATCTCCTAGCTAATCAAATTAAAAGTTAAATCCTCAAATGCACCTAGAAAGTTTTTATGTAGTTCTTTCTTTGGGAAAAAAAGTGTCATGTTATGCATTATTTCTAGATTAAGGGTAGTTTAGTACTTTGAACTTTGTGACTATATAAATGTTGGGTGTAGTGGTGTAACCTAATACACTTTTGCCTTTTTCCTATTTCTCTATCTCTCTTATTCTCCAAAACCTTAATGTCGTAATAATCTAACTTGATATCAGAGAATCGATCAAATACATCTCAAAGTTGTCAAAAACTCATCGGAAATTCGTTGTTGTAAAGGTGCAACTAGGGTTATACTTGAATGTCCATAGCCCTCTATTGTTTTTTGGTTGGATTTGAGAAGGATTTGTGCTTCTTGGGTGTATCGGCACAACTATTTTGTGTACCAAGACTGGTTCTTGGTCTTGCTACACTGGAGGTGTTTTTGGATGTTGATTTGGGTAGTTCTGTTATACAAGGGCTCTATGGCTATTGTTCAAGTCGTTTTCTTGGTTTGATCTAACCATTTAGGTATCCTAACAAATAATCCCTCCCTCAAGATGAGTCCAAAGAAGCTACACAAGAAGAATTATTTGGCTTGGTGACGGGCTTGTTTACTATGATTCCTTGTCTCCTTCTTTACCTTCTATATCTATTCCTCAGGAATGAAAAAAGGTTCTCACTAATTCCAAGTAGAGTGAAACTATGGTAGAGAAAATGAAAGCCTTTAAAAAGAATGACACATGCGAGCTTATTTCTATTCCTTCAAGAGTCCAAACAATAGGGTGTAGATGAGTGTTTACTGTCAAACAATAAATTGATGGGATTGTTGAGAGGTACAAAGCCAAGTTAGTTGCTAAGGGATTTACGTAACATAAGGTATTAATTTTCAAGAGACATTTGCTCCTGTTGGAAAAGATGAACTCCATACGTGCGTTTATCTACTATCCAACTAATTTGAGGGTGGAATTTACAGCAGTTCAATGTGAAGAATGTCTTCCTTCACTGAGATTTGGAGGATGTGTACATGGAGATTCCTCCGAGTTTGCATCTCAAATAACTAAAGAGAAGGTATGTAAATTGAAGAAGTCTCTATGGATTGACGTAATCCCCAAAGCTTGGTTTAATAGATTCTTAAGGCTAAGCTAAAATTTGGATATAAATAGAATCAAACTAATCATACTATGTTCATTAGATAGATTGATGACATAATCACAGTCCTCATTGTATATGTGGATGACATAGTGATAAAGAGTTTGAAATCAAAGACTTTGGTCTATTAAGATACTTCTTTGGGATTGAGGTTGTCAAGTTGGACAAAGGCATTTTTATCTCCTAGAGAAAGTATGTTCTTGACCTTCTTAAAGCGACAAAGACTTTGGGGTGTAGACCTCTTATTAAATTCAATCATCGACTGTGTGGTGATATTCCTGAGATAGTAAAAAAAGAGAGAAACCAAAAATTGGTAGGGCAATTAATATCTCTCATATACCCAACCAAATATTGCTTTATGAAGTGGGTGCTTCAAGTGTATTCATGCATGATCCTTGAGCACCTTATCTTGAAACTTTTTATTGCATTTTGAGATATCTTAGGTTAGCTCCAAGAAAAGGGATTTTGTTCTCCAATAATTGTCACTTGAAACTAGAAGCATTTAGTAATGCGGACTGGACCAGATAAGTTGATGATAGAAGATCAACTTCGGGCTATTGTACCTTGACTAGAGGTAATTAGTCACATAGCAAAGTAAGAAACAAGTAATGGTGACTAGGTCTAGTGCGGAGGCTGAATACAGAGCAATGGTCCATGGAGTTTGAAGCTTATATTGCTCCAAACATTACTAGGTAAGAGAGCTAGAAATTTATAATGACGAACCTACGAGACCATACTGCGACAACTTGATTGCTATCAACGTTGCCCACAATCCAGTTCAATATGATAGAATCAAACATGTTGAAATTGACCAACACTTTATGAAAGAGAAATTAAATAAGGATTTGATTTGCATGCCTTTTTGTGAATTAGAAAACGAGGGAGCCGACATCTTCACTAAGGGGCTTAATAGCACGTCTTTTCACCCAATTATTTGCAAGTTGGGCATGAGAGATATCTATGAAACAACTTGAGGGAAAGTATTATGTCATGCATTATTTCTAGATTAAAGATAGTTTAGTACTTTGTGCTATGTGACTATATATATTTTAGGTGTAGTCGTGTACCCTAAGACACTATTCTCTTTTTCCTAATTCTCTCTCTCTTTTTTCTCCAAAACCCTAACGCTGCAATAATGTAACTAAAAGTTAGCAACATGAAACCTGAAAGTCATTTCTAAGAACTGATCCTGCATCCAACCGTTCAACCCTGTCCACCAAATTTTCATTTTCTTTACTGAGCAAACTCAACTCTATCTGAAGCTTATCCACTTCTTCACATGCACGACAATGCTCTAAAGAAAGCATCTCCAGTTTTGACTTCAAGCTCTGCAGGACAAAATTAGTTAGCTTTGCATACCAGAACAAGAAGTGAAAGTGCAATATAACTGACCTCTTGCGAGCTTTTACTTTGATCGTCGGCCATTCTTAGTTCATTCCGCAGTTGTTCATTCTCCGATGATTTCTCCATCCTGTAGAAGGATTATGATAAGATATATATATATATATATATATATTTTTAATCGTTTCTGTCCAGAAAAATGTCTCATAAAGTTTTGTAGGACCCCTAGCCCAGCCAACCCAAACACACCTATCAAACAAAACCAACCAAAGCCAGCCCAAATGGCAAAAAAACGAAAAACCAACCAAAGCCAGCCCAAGTGGCAAAAAAACAAGTGTGTGGATCTTTTTTTTGGGAGGTGGGGGAGAGGATGGAGAAGTTGCAGAACAAAATAGATTACAAGAGCAAGAGGGGGAGAAGAAAAAAACACTACAATCTAGGATAAAATATTTAATACCTGTGAAAATACAGCTCAACATACCTATGCAACAGAAATGGGAACGCATAACAACCAGAACAATAGGAAAAACTGCTGAGCCAACTACCATTAGGTTGCAGCATAATCACAAAAGAACTAAGTATTCCTCAGCATCTTTCACCTCTACCTAGAAAAGTTACATCTTTTAATGTAAATAAGAACATAGAAGGATTGAAAGAAGATCCAATTTCCATTTTCATATTTGCACATAGACAACCAAATTATAAGATCAAAAATTAAAGGAATTCTCTGCAGTATTCTTAAGAACTTCCCAAGAATACAGGGGTTATAGGAAACTAAATAAAATCCATCACCGAGTATAATTGCTGGAAACCAAAATGGTCAGACAAACCTGGACTTTATCTCCAACTTTGCAGTTTCCTCTGAAATTTTCAATTTTTCCCCAAGGACCTTGCATTCTTCTCTACAGGACTCCAGTTCATTTCTCACCTTACGATTTAACATATTAACTATTAAGATATGAAGGTATCATTTTATAAAACAGAGCAACTAACAGGTTGGACTTCAAACATGATAGAATAAATATTGGTCGCACAAAACCTTCACTATAAATAACGACAAAATAATAAACAATTTTGTATGGGCCTGACAATTTAAAAAATATTATGCATTCAAAAAGAAGCAAAAAAAATGTGTGAAAAATATTAATTCAAACAACTGAGTCATTGGCATATCCATACCATGTTTTAAGTTGCATCCTTTCGAAGTTCATACATATAAGGGTTATTCTTCATATAAGGGTTATGATCATTTATACCCTATATGCATGCCATTCTGTCAAACCCATCTACGCTCACATGTTTTTAGTGGTCCATAGAATAAAAGTACTTCACATCTCATAAATATGCATGTTAGATATGTTAAAACCAACTAGCAATGAATGGAGGGAGCCACAAGGCTCATTTACAAGTTTAGGAGCCACTGTTTCACCGGTATAGGACAAGCTCTAACACCTCCTTGCATGTGTCCCCCACTCGCACATGAAGAAATAGACAAAAAGACCAAAAGACTTAACAAGAGACACAATGTTGTGCACCCCAAGCACAAACATACTGGGAACCCAGTACAAAATCAATGACACTGAAACAGGAGTAATTCCAAAAAACCTCCTGAAACCTAAATCTAATACCATGTTAAAGCATCTGCCTAAAAACCAATTGACAATGGATGGCAAGCTCCAGTAGGCCGATATTATAGTTTCAGAAGTGTCGTTATACCATTGTGGGACGAGTCTAACAATATCTATAAAGAAGGCATAGAAAAATTGCATAGCAATTCCCATATTTTTAAGTGTATGGCCACCGATTTTTTCCCATTTTGTTTAACCAGAATGATTAGCGGGTACCTAGAAACTTCATCAACAACATGCTACTGAGGATTTGAAATTTTTTCATGGGTTTAAGTCTCAAAAGAATATTAGAAACCTTAACTATAATTCCAATCGAATGAACTAAGGGAGTTCAAATATGATCCGTAGACGTGCATTCTGAACTTTTAAGCAGAATTGCTCACAATATCATACAGGATCCATATGTATCAATAGAGTAAATGAAGTATTGGAGTAGTATTATTGCAGGAGAGCACATGTAAAGTCCAAGAAATTCCACTTTCTGAGAACACTTTCTCACCTTTGTGGTGTAAAGATTTTGATAACTGGACACTTTCCACATAATAATTAATCAAACACACGCACATAGGAGATGAATCCCATCCCCCCTCTTTTCACTAATTAAGTTATTTATTGGTTGTGCCAAGCACTTAGCCTCTTGGTATGGCAGGAAAATAAGTGGGCAAGCAAGAAGTGTGCTGAGCGCATCCAACGTGGCCATCCTAGTTCCTTGAGGAAGCTGGTGGTTTGGATCAGACAAGTGGAAAACACATCGGTGCACTATTCAGATTGGGAACAACAAACAGCTACATGGTTTCAAAGGGTGTCACTTCTGGAGATACTCTATACAAGCAGTTCTCAAATAACAACTGATGCATTTGGCAGCAGGTGGCATTGAATTCTAAAAATAACTCCAGGGCAGCTGCATCCTTAGTCAAGACATGTGGAACAGAAAACTTTAGAACTGTGCCTGATTGCTATAAATGTGCATTGTCTTAATCTTTGCAGAGAAGCAACATCAACTAGTTCTCCATGTTCTAACTTGGTAAAGAATAAGAAGGATAAGCCATTTCAGCCAGAATCTCCCTGCAGCTCTGATTTTTTTTGTTTAATCTTTCCCCTTCCCACCTTCCTTTTTTAAAAAATAAAAAATAAATAAAATTATGTGGCCTACCTTCCTTAACTGGTTGAAATCAACTCAGAGCCAAATAAATGATGGTAGACTCCTTGAAGTAATGATTGGTTTCAAGCATAACATCATCTTTTGGAAAACAATAAGCTCTGATTAATGTGCATAAAATCAGAGAAAATAGTAAAACCTTTCCAAAAAAATATGTGGATCAACTTCAACAACTACTATGAGGATGGATTTGCCAGTTACCTCTGACATTCCATCTGATAAAAAGGCAGTCTCAGCATTATATAATTTTGTGCTATCTTCAATGGCTTCAATGGAAGCTTTCTCCTTAGCAGACCATATCGCCTTTTCCTCCTCCATTGCCAAAAGGGCATCAGTAAGTTGCTGCAGAACATTTGATTCAACAACCAACACTACACTTGGGAATGCAAAATAAAGAACAAATGCTTTTGTTACAACATGTTCCAACAGTGAGTTACCAATGCCAGATCTTCCTTTTCTTCTGCCAACACCTTAATAGAGGTCTCCAACTTCTGATTGTAGGATACAGATTCTTCTAAACAGGATCTCTGAAATGATGAAAGAGGAATGTGTATATATACATGGATGTTGCTTCACAATGAAACCATGCTAATCTTATCAAATTCAACTGGGAACATTTAATTAGAGATGAATAGTTTGGAAAACAGAAAATGTCAGGTGAACTCAAAAAAGCTTACAAGGCGTGAAACTTCTTCCTGCCACTTATTCAATTCTGAGTTTGTAATAATCAACTTGTCAGACAAGGTCTGCAACTCTGAAGCCAAACTCTCAGTTCTAGATATAGCTTCTTCCTTTTCCCCATGTGTAGCTGCTAGTTCTTCTTCCAAAGAAGCAATAGTTGTCTCCATCTCAAATGCAAGCACTTCCAGCTTCTTGTAATCTTCCTGAACAACAAAAAAAAAAAAAGCAAAACAAAAATTTACAATTGAAGCCTTCCATTTGTTCAGAACAACAAAAGTCATAAAGCAGTCAAGAGGAAATAGAGCAGCCAAACTGCAAACAAAGGAAACTTTTAATTGAAAAGAAAACTCTTCTACTCGTCAAACAGAATACAATCTGAAGATAACATGGCAAAAATAGAGTGGCAAAACCAGACATGACTCATGAGAGAAACAAAATATGAATTAAGGAGCAAAAGGAATAAATATCAAACGAACACAAGTACATATAAGGTTATTAACCAATGAGCCTTTGGTCCAATGATACTCCTTACCTTGTGAAGGTTTTGCCTTCTTGAGGTCAAGGGATCAAGTTTCCCTCCCTTCCCCTTTCCCAAAAAAAAAAAAAAAAACATGTAAGGTTATTACATGTCCCAATGTGCCATTAAAGATATTACTGTTAGACATGCTTTAACAACTGGTAGCAAACTATTAATGTACTGATGGCTGACATGGTTGAATAATCAAATTTAAGTGTCAAACTAGTTTACATCTGTGGCAATGAACATACAATCCAGCCAAAGGCAATTGTTTATCAATTCAATATATAGTTGCAAGTATCAGTATTGTGTAAAATGGTCTTATGCATACAAGAAACATGGTTGGAAAACAAACATAAGCAGACAAATGAAGTAGATCTGTGTTATATGGAAAATATCTCGGCGTAATTAGTAAGTGAACTTTTTTAATTAACCCAAAACCGTAAAATTAAATATGTTGCTTGTATGTGAAAACCCCAAATCAAAGTTGCATGGACTATCCAACATCCGGCATGCAGAAAGGGAATGCGCTAGGGGTCTACTTCTATAAAATTCGTAATTAGACAGTATGGAGCTCCATTAAATGCAACAGCATTTTTTTGCTGCAGTAGATGATTAATGAAATCTTGTACTGAAAGAATCTACAAGTTTATATTATCAAGAAAATTTGTTACATTGGACATAAATTATAAAAAATGTCTCAAAAGCTAGGCTGTGTACCATGTTCTAAAACATGCATTCCAAAAAACAATTTACTGGATAGTAGTATTGGGAATAAATATGTTTCAAACATAACTCATCTCTAGGTTTGTGTCTTGCTAACTCCAAGGAACTTATGAGTAAATGCCATTCAAAAAATGGTAATAAAAACTCTTAATGTATTTGAACACTTCCTATATGTGGGGGTTAATTATCCATAGAACAAGGAGACTGGAGACTATATTAAACATAGAATTAAAGTAGGATGGGCTAGACAGAAGATTGCATCTATCATAGTATGTGAACGACAAATACTTCTTTTAAGTTAAAAAGTAAGTTTCACAAGGCAATCATTGGACTAAGATGCTGTATGGTAAGAAATACTGAGCAATTGTGAAATAACATGGTCAAAATTAGTGGCAGAAGCAAAGACGTCAAGACGGATGCGTGATATAATTGGAAAGGATAGAATTAGGACTGTGTATATTTGTGAAACGGTACAAGTAACAATAATTGGAGATAAATTTAGAAAGAATCGTCTTAGGGTGGTCCGGAGATGTATATGGAAGAACCATAACTGCACCAATGAGAATTATGTGACACCTATGGAAGGCAATGAGAGGGATAGAGGAGGGCCATTCAATGGGTAGATATAGACAGAAATTAACTTTGAATGAAATAGTACAAAAGGGTATGATAGATTGGGATATCAGAGAAAATATGACACTTGATAAAGCACCATAGGAATAAGATTGATACAGCCAATCCCAAATATATATAACAAGGCTTAGTTGGGTTGTTGAGTTGAATATAAGTACTAGAATTTCATCCCAGGCTGTTCAAACTCCCTGAGTCTAATAGATAGTTTCGTATTTTAGTTTATTTGATGCTTGAAAAGGTAAATTTAAGCCATTTGACTACCATAAATGTTCAAGATAAGACCCTTAATGAACATTATTTAGATCTTAAAAATCAAATAACCAAGTTATATCCATCAAAATAGAAAAATGATATTATAAAATTTCAAAATTTATATTGGCTACCCACAACCAGTCTTCATGATCATTATTAATTAAAACAACGCATGAGAACAAATTACAATATAATTGACAATACAACCCTCAAAAAGGAATCTATGTGAAATGTTATTCTCAAGAGAAAGCACCATCATACACTAGTTTTGATTTTTGAGAGCTTTCCCTTGAAGCCACATAGGGGTGGAGCCAAAAAATTCTTTTAGGGTGAGCATTGTATATTTTAACAAGCATAATTTTTTTCTTGTAATTGATAAAACTAGAATAATACATTTATATTTAATTATATCCTATTTAATTCTTAAAAGTTCATTAAATTTAAAAGACTAAAATTGCTAAGCATAGTAGATACAAATGACAAAAAAAAAGGTAATTATATACTTTTACCAAACAAAGGATAATCAAAACTATTTCGAATTGATTTCGATGAATTTTTATATGTTGAAAGTCTTGCATTAACTTTATTATTATTTATATCCACAATTATATTATCACTTAGTTATTTATCATTCATTCGATTACATAATAAAATATATTCTCTATCATATCAGTGATAATTACTAAAATAAATGTGAAAATTATAAATAAACTCGTGGATATATCATACCTTTTTTGGTCTTGATTAAAAAATAGGGTGAGCACAATTTAATATATTGAAAAAATACTTAAAATATATATACGTAATTTTAGAAAAAAAAATTTGAGGGTGGGCATGTGCCCCCCCCGGGCATAAGGTGGCTCTGCCCCTGAAGCCACACAAAACTGCCTTTCTGCATAAGGGGAGTATATGAGAACCCACCACAAATGATGTCACATGTCAGCAGTAAATCTCTCATGGTCTTCTCGCTTTAGTTAACTGGGTCCACCCCACTACCCCAGGTATCCAGGCTGATGCTAATTACCTAACTCTACAAGTTTAGCATTTGGACCCAGAAGGGGCTAACTGGAGTCTTCCTCCCTCGCCTATGAGTCTTGTATGAAATAACAATGCAGGAAGAAATTTACAAAGCCTTTTAAGTGTTTTATCTAAACCTATTGATCATCACCTGCATTGTCTGCTCAATGGATGTATTAAGACCCTTTGCTTTTTTTGAATCAAATATATTTGAACCCCTTTCAAAAACTGAATCCCGCCTTTTCCCGGCAATTGAGTCGCGTTTGCTGATATCACGTTCAAGAATAACTTTCTGGCCATGCAACTGCTTTAGTTCTCTCTCAGCACATGCTTTTTCACCCTGCATCAGTGGAAGTATGTGAGGGATACATGTTACGTTAATTGCAAACGCAAGGAAAAAAAAAAGGTAAAACCTCTAGTTTTGTCTTCTCCTGAATGGCATTCCTAAGCTTGAACTCTGTCTCTCTCAACTTTGTTTTTGTTTTCTCGAGATCTTTTCTCATATTTTCCTTCTCTCTAGCCGAGGAACTTGATGATAAACATGATATTTCTTTTTGGAGAGTCTGAATTTGAATGAGGAATTCTGACTTTTCCAGTTCATGCTGTTGGTAAAGTTCCTGCAAGAAAATTGGACATGTCAAAAGGGCACATATAAAAACACACCATATGGATCAGAGAAAAGCTAACATACAGTCAGTTCCTTCGTCGAATTTTGAACATTCAGACTTAATTCTTGTATCTGACTCTGTAGCTCAATGGATTGATTGTACAGAAGAAGCTACATTTCAATAGTCAGACAATGGTACAGGGTCAGAAGTGGTTTTAGAATGATCAAAATCACTCATACTAGCGGTGGTCTCAAAACCACACCTTCTCATTCTCAAGGAGATTTACTTTGTGCCTCATGCCAGACTGTAACTTCTCATGGTCATGAAGTACTGATTTTGTTTGCACAGAATTTTGGAAAGCCAAAGACTTAAGATCCTGTACTAGAACAGAGAATCAATAAATTTTAGGAGGTCAAGCAGTGATAAAAAAGACTAGCCATCTCACAAACATTAGAGTAATATGCTTACCTATACACTGAAATACATATATATATATTCCCAAACTAAAGAGCAAAACTTTGTAGTAGGTACTCAAAAATGCTAAAAAGAACTCACAGCAAACAGGTCTAATGTGGTAGAGAAACTAAGGAAAAGTTCATCCACAAATGAAGAGATTCTTGAATTTTTAGTTTCCAACGTAATGTCATGGACTTCCGCTAATAGCTTGGTCAACGATTCAAAATTCTCCTAGAGAAATTTAGCAAACCATGAGTTTAACAGGAAGCTTGGATAAAGAAACAGTGCATAAAACTTGCTACAATTACTAAAAGGCTCATAATTACCACCAGATAGTTTGAGAATAAGCAGAAAATACATACATCAGCCAATTTGAGAGATTCCACAGGTGTGAGTTGTTCACGAGCCATCTTGGCCTCCTCCTGTGCATTCAATAGCTCTTCATAGAGCTAAGACAAATCAATGATACAATTGTTAAAGTACCACAAAAAGAACTGATATGAAATAGCAATAACATGCCGTTTCGGGTTGTGTGATCCAAACAAAGATAGGAGAGGTTTCAATTGTTTTCCTTCTGTGTTTAGCCTATGTACAGGACAGGATTCTGAGAAATCAAAAGATCAAAGAAAATAAATATTAAAACCAAACCATACTACACAAGGAGGGGACATAATTCTGATTTTCTTTCCGATTTGGTCCACAGCAGATGATAAAGATTGCCAAACTGCCAAACCCAGTTTTGCCCTGTTTAACCGAGGGAGCATGTAGAGATGGACTAGGTACACATCTAACCATTGACATCATTTTGCATAAACTGACTGTTTCATAATTAAACTCACAACCTTGAAGATGAAAGAATTAAAACAACAATTAAAGTGATGAATGGAGAAACTTTGGGTATCCAATTCCAAGAGGGAGATGAATTGCATTGATTTAAAAGAAGGAGAAGAAGAAAGGAAAAAGATGATGTAGAGCGGCAAAGTTCAACTTCCCTAATGACTAGCCCTGTTCATCTGATTTTTGTTCATAATTGATAAAGCACTCCATGAATTAATATGCATCTATATGCTGGAATGGCACAGGAAACTAGAGCTTCGATGAGTCAAACCATGATTACCTCTTCATACTTCTCCATGGCACATATATTCTGCTCAGTCGCTAACTCAACAACACAATCCCAATTTTGTTGGCTCGAAGATTTCTCCATCTCCAACATTGTTATCTGGAAAACATAGAATCGACAAATTTTAAGTATTGCAATAACGAAAGTCAGAAATTCATGAAAGATGAAATAATTAAATGATTATCCAATTCAACCCCTCCCCACTAGAAAAATTAACAAAAAGGAAGAAGAACAAGCAAGAAATTAATAGAAAGAAAGCATGATGCATGAATGAAGAGGAAAACCTTTTCTTGAAGTTGCTTAATCACAAGAATAGCCTCCGACTCCCTTAAACTTTTGTTTGTGTTCAGTTGAATGATAATTTTTTCAACTTGACATGGTGAATTGTCTTCATATTTCACATCCGGACAAAAATCAACCTCTGCAAGCTTTCTTGTTAAGTAGTCAATTTGTATCTCACTCATGGTTCTCTGTAACTCAAAAAAGATACCTATTAGAGAGTGGACCAAGTGGCATACAAGTTTCATACAGAAAAAAGGGCAATATAGGAACTATAACCTCAGTTTCATATTTCAATAGCAAATCCTCAAATTCTGCTCGCATTTCTGCCAATTCATTGTTCTCCTGCCAAAGAAACAATCACTACATTTCCAAAACTTTATATACAGATGAAAAGAAAAAGAGCATAGTACAACCACTGGTATGCTTTTCTTCCTGGATGGCACTTTTCTCCTACTAGTAACATGCAGCAAGGCACTTGGATTGGGAAGAGCACAGTCTTCAAATGTATTGTTTTTACAATCTTCCTGTTGCTTGCAAGAGTCATCGATGCTAGCTTCATATTCTAGTTCTTCAAAAGGAAGAAGTGGTCCTATATGGCGCTCAGCTCGCATGGGTTTCACAGCAGAAACGTTTTCTTGCACAGTGGAATACAACTATAGCAACAAGGAAGAACATTTACTTGTTGCATATTCTAAAATGTGCATAGAAATGCATGTTAGAAGACTATTGTCTGTACTCGAAATCATCTATAGAATTTGCTATATGTTATTTCTTGCATAGATAACGCAACAAAGCCAGCACAAAGAAATACACAAACCTTGAAGAAATCAGGGTTTCAAATTTGTTAAAATAGAATACAATATTAAATTTAACAGTCTGCTTACAGAAATTTCTACAATAATGCTCCACTTCTAACAATTTTTTTTTGTAAATTTTCAATGACAGTTTAGTTGAACTGAACAAAGCTTTAAATCCCACGAACTTAAGGCAGGTGCATAAATCCTATTCCACCATTCAACTCTTCAATTTACAATCATATGCTCATTATATACTATAAGCCAACAGCCAACATATCTTTTTTTAATGTATTGAATCACATTGGTTTATCCATTCCTGAGTCCTTGTGACACTCTTAACTCGAATCAAATGAATCTGAATGGCCCTTTGGACATACAAAAGCAAAATGATGGTCGAACTGGTAGTGGATCAATAAGACGGACTTTAATCGGGTCAATTTTTAGAGGATCTGGGATAGCTAGTCTAGACCAAACCCCTTTGGTAAATGACAAAGCACTATACTGTTGTTTCAAAGGGCTACCTTGGTCAATCCCATTTCTTCTATGCATCTATAAAGCAACTAAAAATGGATTCATCTACATACTTTGACGGAGGCGGCAAGGCAAACAAATGGAGACCAAAGGTTCACAGTGGGAATCAAGGATTCAGGTCATCAGCAAGACTAGAATATTTCTACTATATTTGACGGATAAAAAAAAAAAGACACCATAGATAAATGGGAAAAGTCAACAATGTGAAAGATAGATATCCTGTGATATCAAAAAAGAAGAGCAGAAGATTCACAGCTACCTCCAAAACAGATTGGAAAAAAAAAAAAAAACCCTACTTATGAGAGGAAAAGATGCCTCCAGTCTACCCCACTTCGCGCAAGTACTCAAGGAGGGAATAACTGGCCCATATGATAAGCTCCCAACTGAGCCAAAGGATCTGGTTGATTGCTGCAGGAAGCCTTCTTTTAGTCAGCAGTGCTGTGAGTGTCTCAAAAATGCCTCCACTTGAGAAGTTTCCCAAATTCCCGAGGAAGCCAACATAAATGCGGAATTTAATTTTCCCCTTTCGGTGAAGACATCCAAACAGCAAAGTTAAAAGTACTTAAAGTGCAATGAAACATAGCAAACCAATAGCACAAACTTATGCTCAAAGGCACTCTAAAAAATATGCTGAATTGCATGTCACAAGGACAAGTAAAAGAAACCTCCCCAAAAGATCCCCTCCAGAGAAAACAACTCTTCAACATCCTGCTATTCCTTCCTCCACAAGCAACCAAGATTACAGTGATCATGGAATCGAGAAAGAGTCTTTACTTTCCACCTGTCCCAAAACTTCCAAACAAGTTGCTTCCCCGTAAAAATTTTAACCTTGCAAGAAGCAACTCTTCTCCCTGGAGCTTGTCCATATAAGCTCAAATGATACCCATTTTCAAACTTAAGCTATAACTAAAAGCTATTCCAAAGCTTCTTCCCTAGCTTGTTCCTTATAAGTGCTTCCAAGTTAATATCACTAATCAATTCCTCAGTAAACCATAATACCATGGATGCAACAATTGGAGAACAATATATATCTTGCCAGCATTCTGCTCAATGAACCTTAAACTTTTTGGATGAGAAGATTTCACTATGATTACCAAAAGATGTGTGCCTGCTTATATGCATCAGTAAGTGATCTACAATTTCGTGCAGTATGAATGGTGAATCGATACCCATGTAAAAATTAAATCTTACCTCCCTCAAAGTTTCCCTGGAAAGATTGCCAGGGCACCATGTATCACGCCTCTTCTCCTACAGTACATAATAAAGAAAATCCAAGTCAAACACAAGATAGAAGGCAAAAGAGAGAGAGGACAAAGAAGGGTCTAAGAAAAAAGCATGGATCATATGATAGTAATGCCACGAACTTACAGAAAGCATTATTTGTCATGTCTCAGCACTGAAGTATAAGTAAAAACAATCAATGCAACAAACAAGGGGGAAAAAAGATCTCTTCAACAAGCACACAGAAGCTTGGGTTGGTCATACTAACCCTTGAAATATGCAAAATTTCTCATGTGCTAGAAGAATTGGTCCAATATATAAGTGAAAAACAACTTACGCATGTATCATAAAGATCACTCATCTTCACAAGAATTTGACATGATGTGATATCTCTGAAAGATCACATTTCTACTAACATTGACACGTTTTTGGTCGTACCCCCATGTTGATTTTCCAAAAGATGCACATGAATACAAATTGACCTAAAGCAAATGTTCATCATGTAGCCAGGGCATTTATTTTAGGGGTGTCAATTTTATCCGTTAACATGAATCCGACCCGACACAAAACTCGAAAATAACACGATTAGTTGATACGAATAATAAATGGGTCAAATTAAAGTTCGACACTAAAAACACGATTAATGGGTACTATAGATAGAAAATAAATATTTAAAGAGTATTGCAGATAGGAAATAAGAATTTTATAATTTTTTATAATTATTAAATAGTATTATATGAGTTGTTGTCGAATTAAATAATTTTTTATTAACATCAATATTGACACGAACTCGACACATACTAAAAGTGACACGACACGAAAATAACACTGTCGAAAGTGACACAATATAAAAATGACACGACACGACACGATTAACACCCCTAATTTATTTTATTGGGTATTCTTCTCCATCTCTTCAAATTCCAAATACCAAATTCAAACAAACAAGCACAAAATCAAACAATTCTTTCTTTTTAACAATCCATTGGAACTTTTTTGTCTTATAAGCCTTCCCTACCGATATAGATTCTAAAGATCACTACAAAACAAGGTTCGATAATAATACCAATGTGCATTTAACCAACGATTTGAACCCCAAAAACCATGTGTTACAAGCTTAGTTCTTTCTTCCTTAGAAGATTCAATCTAACAAATCTCAAACTCCAAAAGATTCAAATTAGTGTTCATTGATACTACTCATAGCACCAGGAACAGCCTCAAAATTCTAACTTCTTTTCTCTCAATCCATCAAAGGAAAAAAAAAGAAATTGCTGTTGTCTTTGCTTCTGCAGTATGCTCCATATCTTTCCAGCTTTTGATATTCTTTTGGCATTAGTTCTTCAAAACAAATAAGCATACCCCTGCTCAGGCACATAATGGCACAGTGACCTTCACAACCACATTAACACAGCAGTCCAACAAAATCAACTTAGTTCACATCAATGACCATAGCCAAAGAACCTTTCATTTGTTATTTTAACAGGAACATAAACAGCCTGAAAATTGCTACCCTTGCATAATGGTTTGATTCTGGAGAAAACACCTTAGTATGCAAGCTTTCCTCATCCTTCATAAGTATAAAGCATTCTTTCATCTTCAACTTTATCCCTGCCCATATGTATGTTAATGTATGGTTGATCTGACAGAGTTAGTGCAAACGTTGAAGCAATCAACAAAGGTAGTCCCGATTCAATTTTGTATTAAGAATCCTTTAATAATCATTCTCGATTGCTTAATTTTCATAGGTGTGCCTCAGCACGGTGAAAATCATGTGCATGCATCCTCTTCATTTGTAACACTAACACTTTGACGAATATTATCACACTTTAATATTTCTAGAAGTTCATGATTTTGAAATTAGTATCCATGTCCTACTTTCTTACTGTGTATGCCAATTGGCCATTGACTTTGAAAAGTTCTCTGACTCGTTTTTAGGTTTTTATAGAGGCTATAAGTAAGCCTCATACGTATAAACAAGACTAGAGCATACATAAATTTCGTTATTTTTTGGCATCGGTAAGGTTTCTCCATTGTTACACTGGCGTCAAGGGTTTAAGTCGCCAAATCAACCACTTCCCATGTGGAGTTAAGACTATGTCCATCTTGTTAAGAGAACTTCTATCCCACATCGAATAATTAGCATTACCCGGGTTGGTTTATATACTTGAGGGCCACTCGACCCATTGCCAATTAGTCGTGGGTTGGATGCTCTAACATGGAATTAGAGCTGGGCCTCAAGTTGTCAATAGGCCAATTCTCTTACCCTTTTGAATTTCCCAATATGCATAGTTATTTTATTTGTTTGTTAAGCTCACATGGGAGCCTAGGTCCCACAAGAGGGAAGATGGTAGGAAAGCTTGTATCCCGCATTGAACAATTTTAGGACCACCAAGGTTGGTTTATATACTTGAGAGACCACTCCACCCTTTACCAATTGGTCATGAGTTGGATGCTCAAGCACTAGGCCATCCACTACTACCAACAATTACTATTTCTATCCAGTTGTGACAGGGTGACAGCCAATAATAGTTCCACTTTCTCTCTCTCTCTCCTTCCTTATTCTTCTTTCTAAATTATTAATATTGAAGCTTTTATCACAATAATCTTTGCATTTTTCTTACTTTAGACCAGATATATTTAAAGAACATGTAAATACATACACAAGGACATTAAGCTTCTTCCACAAACAAACCCGATCATCATAAAGGTTACAAAAAAGAAATCTAATTCTCTTACGGTTTTCTATTTCTTTTTTCTTTCTCAAATAGATAGCCAGACTCTAGCTAACTATTTTTGCATTTGGCTCCTTGTTAACTTCACTGAAATACACAGATATTGACTGTAAAAACACAGAGCAAGTTTATGCTCCATCTTTCCAGAAAAATAAGCATCTCCAATTTGTATTAATCAAAGATTAAAAAAGGACGAGATTACAAGAGAAAGTAGAGATCTATAAGTAAAACATAATCATAAGTGCTTGAAAATCAAATTTATAAGAAAAATAAGATATCCATTGAAAAGAATGGCTTTCATAGTTAATACCTTCTTGTGATGATTGCGACTCTCGTCCCTATTTGAACACAATACCATTGAACTTAAGTTCTCAATTTTCTTAGCTTGCTCTTGTAATCTCTTTTCCCATTCAGCTTGGGCTTTCTTTTCTTCCTCCAACTCCAAAGCCATTCGTTCCCTCTCCAGTTCAGTCTGCACAGGAAGTGTTAAAACCTCTAAAATCCAGATAGATGGTTCTTCATATAATAATTCACAAATCATGTGATTGTCAGACCTGTAATAACGTATTCCGGAGATTGAGAATCTCCTCTCCCAGATGTTCGGAATGGGAACCCTTTACCAGAAACAAGATACAATTAAAAATGGTGATACTTCAAAGACTGTCATTCCAAGTTAAGACCACCAACGTAAATAAATATATAGGCCCACCTGCAATTTGGCCCGAAGCTCCTCAATCTCTTTCTTCTGGCGCTTTAGCAAAGCTGCATCTGTCAAAATCTGTCATGACAATGTCAACTAGATCAAATTTCAAGAGAGAATATTACAAATGCAATTAGGTAGTAGAAAGGATTGCTGAAAATAATTGAGAAAATATGCAAAAGTACAATTACGTAGGAAATGTAAATTGGTATATAGCAAAACCTCATTAACATGAACACAATTGGTGACACGTAGCGCTCTGCTTGCAAATTGAAGACTACTCTTAGTCTCATCGGCATGAATCTAGATCAAATAAGAAATGCATAAGCAAGTAAAAGAGAAAATACTTCTATAAATGAGCACAGTTTGAAGATATCGAGTGGCAAGGCATTGAATTCATGCCACCGTGGTCGTCACAAATCGATTTTGGGTTTCCACAAACCACAGATCTCTAGCATGTCCTCGGATCCTTGTAAGAATTGTTAAACCATACTAAAGAATCATAACAATGGTTATTTTAGAAAATAAGGAGTGTTGAACACCCACCATAGGTTGATATCATACAATGGGCCAAAAACGACAAGATATCAATACTGGGATCTCATACTGACACTATGTATGCACTAGTGTCGCACAATTCTAACAAGCAATTCAAACATAGACTAGCTTGAGAAATTAAAAAATTTCAGTTCTATTAGTTGGCTTTTCTACCCAGTGCAATCCACAACAAGAAGAATCTAGGGTTTGCTCCTGGTCTTGTCACATTACATATAGTACCATTGCTTAAAGTAACATGGCAGTTTCAACCTTGGCCAGATTCCACAATAAGAACTAAAACATAGCATAGAAAAAGAGAATGGATAATCAGTTCATTTCCAGATGTTTAAATGACACTAGGTCTTTAGCAAAATTATATTTAGAAGAAAAATGACCCAATGGTTGCAGAGAGCAAAATAATAAACACCATTTCACAAACAAGTTATTAAGGAAGACACAAATGCATACACCCTTGAGAAATCTGTAGCACCATGGCCAGTTTTTTAATAGTCATTGAGCAGGCATACATACTTAGCAGCATACCTTGTCCATTATTTTAGTTAACTTTTCAAAGTTGTGCAACTACTTTGGAATACTTGCATAACCTGAATACATTTGAGGTTATCATACAATGATGCTATCAAGCTTGTTAATATATTAACCATACCGAAAAAGATGAAAACTTTCTAAAGTTTCTCCTTTTCCTGCTTTTGCCTTTGTGTGTCCACTTACAAACAGAATAAGTCTGATAATTATTCATTGTCAATAAACAGTATCATGAAATTATCATGGGAAACCACACAAAAGCCTACGATATATGACTCATTGCTAAAGCAAAATGTAAGTTGCTGCCATTCAGAATTATTCCACTAATACTTGGAAAACAATAGTGGAAAAAAAGTATTCAGTTATCGCTACTGATTCTATATGATCTTTTTTCACTTAACATAGACTTGCAGGGTTTGCAGGCAAATCCCAAAGATCTTTATGTAAAACTTTACAACCTGCCCATCACTAAGCCAACTAGTTATTAAAACTCACATGACAAAGCCAAGCCTAATTGTTCATTAGGTGATGGATCAATAGACCAAAAGAAACCTTCAAGCAACAAACCATGTGTTTATAACTACACCGAAGTATAATCCATCAGCCTCCATTTTTGGACCCTCTTTGAGGATGCGGAAGGTTAAAATGCCTATAAACATGCAGGTTTTTTCATGGACAATTGCTCAAGGAAGGACATGTGATTGATTCGAAGGAGAAGTTCATATGCTTATTTGTCTCTCCAAAGTTAGATTATGTGTAGGAGATATAGCAACTAGCGAGAACATTGATCATGGTTTACTATATTGCCTATTGTTCCAAAGTTGTGGTATATTTTATTTAGGAAAGTGACAATGGGTTCGCTGAGTCACATGGGAGGGTGAGTCTTCCTTTTCTAGTCTTTTTCCTTGTCTCTATCAAATTTTCAGGATTCATGAACATAATGTAGCTTCCTTAATTTGATCCTAATCTTCCAATATCTCATGGAATTTTGGGTTCCTTAGAAGCTTCAATGATAGGGAATGGTCGGAGTTGAAGGGCCTTCTTTCTTTACTTGATAGGGTTTTTATAAATCAGGATTCTTTGGACAAAGGATGTTGGACTATTGATTCTTCCGGTATTTGCTCATGAAAATCCTTTCTTGAGTCTTTAACTGATGCGTCTTTTCTTCTGTTTTCTCTCCTTTGACGATGATTTGAAAAGCTAGAGGACTGTAAAAGTGCAAATCTTTGCATGGATAATTGCTCACGGAAAGATAAACACTTATGATGTGCTTCTTTGAAGAAGACCAAGGGCATGTCTTCTACCGCAATGGTGTATTTGGTGCAAAGATGATAGCAAGAGCATCGATCATTTATTCTTACATTGTTCTATCGCATTCTGACTATGGAATAGACTGCTTTGCATTATGGATATGTGTTGGGTGGCACTGAGATATGTGTAACCCATTTTATGCTTGGATGATATTAGAGGAAGAGTAAATCAACGTTGGAGGACAATTTGGTGCTCTACCTGTTTTGCTGCTATTTGGGTTATTTGGTTGGAAAGGAATGTGAGGATTTTTCATGACTGTTCAAGTTACTGTTCAAGGCACTGCTCACAACTTCTAAGCAGTGCTGGTTTTTTCGAATCACTTTTGTCCTCCATCACTCCCTCTTTTCTCAATTCATCAACATTGAACTGCCTCGCTTGTGGCCAAAGTTGATTATAAGGCCCAGTTTTTTTTCTTCTCCTTCATGTGAAAAGTTGGCTTCCTAGTCTATCAATTTTGTACTATTTGTATTGTTTTCTTCTAGAAGTAAAACATCATTTAATGTCCTAAAGAAAAACTACCCAGAAGTATGAAGTAAATTATCCATATAACAAATAAAGGTTGTCAAACACCAACTTTGTTTTAAAGCAGTATCATATTTTGGTGAAGAGGAAGTAACAAGGTTTCTAAACTAAATTAGAGCCATTTCGTTTCAAAAGATATTTGAGGGGAAAAACTTAGAATAATGAATAAGTTTCAGGCACAACGAAACCACACTTCATTAAACTAAATAAGACGTATGATAAATTGTCTCTGAGCTTCAAGCTTTAATATCAATGAGTGCAAGAACACAGATCGTTATGGTTCAATAGACTGGAATAGAAACATTGAATGACACATGCAGTCAACTCTAGAAGAACTAAAAATCATGGATGAAAAGAAACAATAAAGTATACATCTATTAACTATTTAACTCACTTTGATTGCACTAATCCTAAACATCCTACATGAATAAAAAAAGAAAAGATACATCAACAAAAAAATATTTCCATAGACAACTTTTGTGTTTCTCAACTAACTCCACTCTTAGTGAAAAAGAATAATCTAGAATCTTACGCAACTAATTCTACATATTTGATTAGTTAAAATCTATGTTACTCATGGTATGACACATGTAACACCATATATAAACTCTTTAAAATATGTTCTTACTCTTTTATATAGGATTCCACTCTAGTTACCAAGCATTGAAGATCCACCATGGAATTAAATTGGTTCCTCAAAATCTTGTCAACTCTTATACTACTTACCCACAACTACCAATAGAGGGACTATCTAAAAATGGCACAACAAGCTTTAAAGATGACAGACTATGTCTGATAATCAGAATGGTTGAATTGTAATGGAGGTGAATAAGGAGGATTAGCTTGCTGAGTGCAAAAAAAAAGTCCAATATCAAATCTTCAAAACAGAACTCAGATTATCCAGTTGATGAGCTCTCAATTTGCAACAAGTCCTCTCCAAGTACTCTTGTTTCAACAAGAAATCTAGGAGAAGAGACAAAACAGCAATTTCTCAATAACTAGTTTTGGAACAAAATGGGTTCCATGTCTTTGAACACATAGTACAAAGCACATATCACTTGGTAATAGTATGGCAATGACATTCAAGAGAAATGGAACTTTGAAATGTTTTCTTACACCGAAAATGTGTTCTTCTATAATAAATGAAGCCTCAGTGAAAAAGAAATAAAATATAAGAGACCTTCAAATTCATTAATTGTATGTAGACGTTGACAACTGATAAACACAATAAGGTTAGTGCAGTTAACAATGTCATCTATTCCCAGATAACAGAAGGAAATATTTCAATCATGTGTAAGATTTCCAAGATTATAAAGTGTTACCTGTGCAAGCGTAACATTGCATATAATCGCTGTATTTGCATTTCCTCCAAGTGCAGGTTGTAATATACGTGTCAGTTTACTGTCCCGATATGGAACATGACTCCTGCATCAGAAATAAAGTGATGCATATCAAATATAAGACTAAAATCTCATCAAACGTGTTTCCCAAAATAAATGTTAACCTACCCTTGGTTCTCAGCACCTTCACTTAATTTCTTTATCACGGTTCCAAGTGTCATCAGGCTTTTATTAATGTGGGAACCCTCTTTTAGACGAACACCTTCCGCGCCAGTCTTGGCAGCCCGCTCTGAACCAGCAAGGTCCACCAAATTCTGGAAATAGACAAATGGAACCAAACATGCAGAAATAAGAAACAAAAATGAGTTTACTTGCCTGCAGCAGATTTTACAATAGCAACAAATTAATCAGAAAAAGGAACATATTAAAAATCAAAGGGATACCATACCAGAACAGATACACGAACAGCATCACATGAACTATTTCCATTTTCATCTTCAGTTTTGTCCCTACTCTCAATTATCTTTATAGCCAGAAAAAGTTACGTAGATGAACTCGCATATTCTAAAATTGTAGAAGATTTATATTGACTAGCAACCTACCATGCGAAAAATTGTATGCGACCTACTGCTGTACAGATTCATATTTGTCTCTCCAATATGCCGATGAGCTGTGAATAAATTGTAAACAAAAATCAAAAAATTACCTTTGGATGAGAGAGAGAAATGCTTGCTTGACAACAAGAAGTAATGGAAATGTGATGACTTCAATACTTCATTGAGAAATTGGAAACATAAAACACCTGTGACAGCTAAAAATTTGGAATTGAACCCTAAAATGAGCAGTCCAAAAAAAAAACCTTAAAATGAGGTGATGCATATGTTCCACAACAGTTGACATGTCAAAAAAAAACACTAGGGTAAAGCAGTGTGCCCCATAGGCCACATCTGAAGAAAAAGAAAAAGAAAAAGAAAATTTGAACCATTGCACTGTATTTCAAAAAAGGGAAGCATGGGAGGGGGTTATAGATTTGTTCAGCAACTTACATTCTCCAAACTCCATGAGTTCAAGGACTTGCTCGGGGGAGGCAACAATTTCTTCTCTTAAACCAGCTACAAATATTCCTCGCTTCACATATAAAGGAAATCAAAATGTAAGGACAATGACTATTAATCAACAAACCAATACAGGTTAAATAGGGTGCTACCAGGTGAGGATACAGTACCTCAAGGCTTTCATGGATCTGCAGCTTTCGGTGCTCTGGAACCAACAAATCATTTATCTCCTCATTATAGATCTCCATATAGGACATCCGTAGAAGGAACTCTCGATTCATTTCCTAAAATATTAAAAACTGATTAAACACTGCATCCCAACAATAATTGCCAAGAGAATACAGTACATAAACATTAGATAATCAGTGTGTCCAGAACTCAATAATGTTGTTTGCAAAGATAGCTTAGTGAAATACTGACTCTCAAAACCCAGAGATCAATGACAAATTTATAGTGATCAAACCAAAACTAGGATATTCACTTTGTTCATTAGGTCTTGCTCCCATGTCTAACTTAGTTACAAATCTCATTCCCGGTCTTCTTGTGATCCACGTTACCCACATTGTGGAACTCTTCTGTCCCTCTATGTCAGTAGTAGCCATATTTTCTACGTACTGCTATATTTTGACCAAACAAACTAGCTTATTAAACGGCTATAACAATGACATTGTGAGGGACATAGGAAAAATGTTTATTAACCACAAAGTGTCAAAATGGAAATAATTACCTCTTGTATAATTCCAAACAGATCATGCACAGCCAAAGGGATGACTCCTGGGTCAGTAGAAGATCCTCGCATTGTAAATGTTTTTCCGCTATTAGTTTGTCCATAAGCAAAGACAGTGCCTAAAGAGATCAAGTGTTGAGAGGCAGAGAGAGAGATAATGGTCAAATGCAGAACAAAAAAGTCAACAAGATTACACTGTTCAAGTATATTATATCTACATTTCCTATCAAAAAAAAGTAGCACACCCTCTTTAACAGCTTAATATTTTAAATGAGCCGATGGTTTAACATGCAATCAGAGAAGGAGGCCTTGTGTTCAAATCCCGTCAGCACCATGATGATTATAGCATTTGCATGTCTTGGCCCAAATTTTGACCCACACATGAGGAGGTGTGTTAAAGTATATGTTTTTTGCATTCCACCCTTTTTAACAGTTTGAGTTTTTAGATGAGTTGGTGATTTAATATATCAATATAAAACTAAGCTAGTACAGACTACATTCCCAAAGTCGAACAGAAGTTCCCATTCTCGAATAATCATAGGATTCACATATAACACCACAGTCCTAAACAACAACAGAGAAAAACAAGGTCATGTGATTATGGCCAAGTGTTCTTCAAGAAGGTAAATAGCAACACCTTTTATAGAGAAAAAATTATTGGAAGAATATAGTGTAACTGCAACTAGTCCAAAAAGACACATATAATGGTAATAAACGCAAATCATAAGGTCTTATGTATGAAACAAGAGTATTCCACATTTCACTTGCCCTTTGAGTAGATAACAAAGTGTGATGCAACAAAAGATTAAACAATTCGCAACAATAAAGGCAATCATCCCTTTACAAAGTAATGGTTTCCCCATAAGAAAATCATCCGTAGATAAACTTATCTAGTATGCTTGATGTGGTGCATTTAAAGGGAAAGAATAGAAGGGCTTTAACGGTGTGGGCCTTCTGGTGTAAACTAGTATTTTGTTGTTCCCCCTGTTCTTATTTTGGTTAATGGATGGGTTCAAATACAGATAGATGGTTCATACTGAGTACTTCATATGTTACTTGATTTCGCCCACACCCTTTGCTTCATCTTACTTATTAAAAATGTAAATTTATAATCATCATATATATATATATTGCCTGCAGAGACAGAATTTTGCTAGATTTCCTTGTTTGCATCTATTCTAGTATCTACCAAAACTTCCTCTAATATCCAGTTTTAAAAGACCCATATTGCCTAGGATTCGTGAGAATCATAAGCTTACTGCCAAATTCAGCATTTTGTCACGACAGTCATCTGCCACATCTTGAAAGGGGAAAATCAGTCAAGACACAAGAATAATAATGCTTTTACTCTGAGCAACACACCTCAACATTATAGAAAATTTGATTTAAGTTTTGGGACCTTTGATCAAAAAAAAGAACTCCGGATCCCAAGAAGAGTTGAAGATGGTGCAAGATCGAATTACATTACTTAACAAAACAAACATAGAGCCAATGAAGGAAGTCATATGGCTAAAAGATTTGGTTGGCGATCTGAATCTCGAATAGAAGTTAACCATTGTGTATTTTGACAACCAGAGTATCATATTGTCATACATCCAACTAAAAATCAAATGTTCCATGAAAGTCCTAAACATATCGATGTCAGGAAGCCCTTCATCCGAGATGTTATTTTTTAGGGCATAGGAAATACGGATAGGGAATATGGGTATAACACAATACAAATACAATCATACGACTGAATTTCAAAAAATAGAATATAGTTATGACAAGGATATGTTGATATATATAGATAGATAGATAAAGCACATCCTGAACTAAAACAACATAGAAACTGTTAAATGGTGTTTTCAATCCAATAGTTTATGTAATTCTAAAGTTGAGCGTGTGTCACCCTTCAAAATTCTTCAAATTGCTACAGTAAAGAATCCAGCAAATATGATGACAAAACACATTACAACAATTAAGTTCAAGCATTGCTTGGACTGGATCAATCTTTCACATTAGATATTGGTGATCCTAGTCGTGGGGATAAGAATATAGATCTAGTGGTGCTAGAGTGGCCTAGGTTGTGTTGGATGGCCTGCCTTTCATTAACTCTTTTTGTGCAGAAGTTGTAATACCCATGTGCCCTTGTACATATACTCTCAATTTCTTTCCCACACCGTGGACGTAGGCAGGGTTTTTTGTTGAACCATGTAAATCTCTTGTGAGATCTGTGTATACGTTATTTATTTCTTATCACTTTATTGTCTACCTCGGTACGCAATTCGTGAGCCCGTCACAACATCTAAGTTCAAGAAAGCCTATGAAATTGATAGATAAATTAACGAATTCAGCATACCATTGAATCCCCGAACAGCCGCAGCAACAATGTCTTCTGTGCGAGCTCTGTAAACCTCTTCCGTCTTTGAATCCTCTCTGAAAATTCGGTCTAAAAACCAAATAATATGATGTCAAAAAAAAAAAAAAAACTAAACCCAGGATGAGTACATGGAATGAAAAGCATATACACAGAGAGGTGTACCAAATTCGAACTTGGAAGGCTGGTTGGGGATGAAAATGGATTTGCCGGAGATTCTCCAAGGGCTGGTCGTGGTGTCCTCCGGAGAGAGAGGCCTCGTTCTCACTGACACGTGAATTCTCTCCATTGGTATCGTATCGTCTTCAGGGAGCTAGAGGAAGGTTAAGAGTGGGAGGGAGAGTGAGGATACAAACGTACGGTGCTTGGCGAGGCTTTTTTGGCTGCTATTTTTCCCGCCTCGAATACTAATTGGAAGACTCGGAATGAATGAGTTTACCAAAATAGCCTTCCTCTTGCATCCTCTTCGGGAAAAATATTGGGCCGTGTAACTATTATTTTTTTAGAAAATTTGGAGGCTCCTACGTGGACTTATTTAGAGATAAGTCTGGCAAGAAAATTTATTGGAGTTTAAGTCCGTGTTAAAACTTATATGTAGGTACTTAAGTCTCTTTTTTTTTTAAATCTCAATATTACTCCTAACGATGTTAATTTTGTCTAATTATAAAAAATCCAATAGGTTAGATCTTTAAAATATATATAGAAACCTTAGTTTGAGTTATATATGAAAATTATTTTTTATTAAAAATCCTAATAATTAAATAAATAATATATGGAATGTATATACTTTGCTAGCTATATATAGAAACCTAATTGATGAATTAATTCAGATCACAAGTTTTCTTTATCAATTCAAATTAAAATTCGAATTCTTAATCAATTTTAGTATGTTATACTTTTGAATAACAAGTTTTTGTATTTGGCAGGGGGTTTAAAGATGATATAAGCAGTCGTGAGACTCTGTGTTACTAATGATATTACTGCCAAGGTTATTATTTAATGATTATTACATACAGTAATCAATCGTACAACAATATTACAAATTCACTTGATAATGAATAATTATAACGGATTTTAACATATCAATTCTACATACAACACAATTTTAGCATTCTAAAATTGAATGGTCATGTCAGTTGGAACATTTTTTAACATGTTACTGTTTGAGGTAGTGTTGCACTAACAAATTGGACAGAATTTCCTTTGTTTTCCAAACATTTCATTACAAACAAATTCTCAAACTTACATAAACATATCAATTTAATATCAAGGTGTAACATCCAAACCACTATTCTACATGTTTAAATACTTCATTTAAACTAAGTACCAATCAATAAACAATTACAACTAACTTCTAATCGAACTTACAAGTAGCTAAATAATGAATAGCTTTACAACATCACTAATTTTTATTTTTTTGGTATATTTTTTTCAATCTTGATCTTGTCTCGTAGTATTCAACGGTCCATGCATTCTTATGGTTTATGAATGTAGTCACTATATGTATTTGTAGAGCGTTAAGTTGTGCTGGTTTCAATTTCTTTTCTATTTCCTGTAATTGTCATCAACTTGTAGCACAAAATTGTAATATCAATATGAATATATTTGACAGTTATAATATTAATATCCTACACAAACATATAGTATAATGATACAAAATAGTAACACACAACATATGGTAACATACGCAATAGTAACATACATAATATAGTAACATTATACCAAGCATAATGGATATAAACCAATTGTAAAAAATTTTGTGCAAAAGTAACATTAACAATTCCACCAAATTACATGATGTAAATATAGTAACTTTAAGTTAGTAACATAAAAATACACACAATTCAATAACATCATTTTTCAATACACAATTTCATTGCAAATTCATTGTGTTCATTTTTTATATTTAAAATCAAACAACAACTCCTGAACTCTTCATAAATAACATATAGTGCATTAAAAATAAAAATCAAAAAGGGAGTTGATCAGTAACATATATACAGTAACCTCAATTTGTCAGTACCATCCATAGTACCCAAAGCACAAGCATACATTGGAAATATGAATTCAATTTTTCAATTATCACACAGTAATATAAAAAGGTTCAATGTACTCTTGAACCAATAATTTTTGAATTTCTTGAACAACAAAGAAAGCAACAAAAAATTTACACATGTAATTATACAATAGACTTTTAATTCAGTAACTACATTTTTCATTATACAATTGTTTCCATTGGAAATCCATTGAGTCCCCAAGTTACAATTTTTGGAATATAAATAACAGTGTTCAAAAGTAACTTGAATATATTTTTTGAGGAAACTTGTGATATTTTCCTTTTCGTAACCAACAGATTGTGCATTAAAAGTAAAAATCAAAGGTTATGATCAGTAACACATGTGCAGTAACATCATTTTCATAGTAACATCCATAGTACTTAAGCACATCAATCTATTGAAATTAAGAAATCAATTTTTCATGTTAAGACAGAGTAACATGATATATTTCATGTTACTTTGAAACATTGGTTTTTGAATGTCTTGAACAACGCATAAAATAACAAAAAAATGTTCACATGTAAATATATAACACATTAAATTAGTAACACTAACATGAATAGTTTCATTCCAAAGGCTATATTGTATTCACAGTAATATCAAATTCCAAATGGTTATAGTAAACATACAATTCTAAAATTGAAAATTTAAAAAATTATCAATTGTAGCACACTGTCAATGCTTGAATTAGGACACTCAACACTGATCAATAACATCAAGATATTTAAATTATGAGATAAATTTATTCAACTCCTCACATAGTAACCTCATATATTTCACAAAAACACAACCAACGGAGTTCAACTGTCAAACACATCAAAAAGAATGATAAAAACAAAATACATAACACTTTTATTATAGTAACAATTCATCTTAATTGTAATGTTATTAATGCAAAAAATAAAAACAATAAAAAAAAACCCAGATGATAGTAAGAACGACACATCAGGCAATGGGTTTTCTAATACCAAAAAATATACATTAACATTCATCTAAAATCACATACCTTTCAATCTTTTTATGAATCCCAAAGATTGTTGATGATGGTTTGAATGCAGAGACAGCAACAATAACTTCTTCAATGGAGTCCAGATTAAACTTTGAAGAGTATATTCAGATTTTGCTCTTATGGTATGTAACTTTTTTGAAATTTGAATAGGATTGGTTTGGGTAATAACAGCTACTGGTTTTCAGGGAAGGAATTTATGGAAGATTTGAAGAATATTGCCGGATTTCAAGGCTTGAAAGAAGGGGAAGTTTTGGTTTACAATGAGAGAGTTAGAGGGTTTTACCATCTGAGAAAGAGACGGCAAATTGGATGTTGTTTATGTTTTTCTAAAAAATAAGGGTACAATAGTAAATTTGTCAAAAAATGGACTTATAACCAAATAAGTTTTCTTGTCGGACTTATCTCCAAACAAGTCCATCTAGGGAGACTCACCCCCAATTTTTACTATTTTTTTTGGTACATCAGAAAGGAAAATAATCACAAAATATAAAACAAAAAACTAGACAAAATGTCTAACAAAAGCCATGCTTGACATATTTGCTAACAAAAAATTAGCCAGCTGCGAGGGAGGAACATCCAAGGCCCCAAACTTATCCATTTGCTGCACACCAAGATTGGCCAAGGCATCCGCACATCAATTACCCTTTCTATGAGTGTGAACAATAGGGATCTGTCTTATTTCCATAAGCCTCCTGCATTGAGTAATCAGATCTCTGTTCGGGTGGGTGGCCTCTGGAATCATCAAAAAGAGCTTCGCAGCATCAAGAGAATTTGTTTTCACAATGATCTGAGTGATGTTCCTCCTATGAACCAGATCCAGACCCCTCTGTATAGCCTCAAGTTCCGCCTGAAGACTCAAGGAGTCTACCAGTCTCCCATAAAAGCTTGTAACCCATTTGCCTTGATCATTCCTTATGATTCCTCATATTCTTATTGCGCCTGGGTTGTCTTTTGAGCATCCATCCGTATTAAGCTTGTTCCAACCCGTTTGGGGAAAAGACCAAGCAATAAGGGAAGGAGAAGTAATGGTAGAATTAAGACTAGTATGCTGGAAAGCCTTAACAGAGTCCAAGGCTAGGAGTAATGCTTCCCTAACAATCAATTTACGTAAGGTGAAAGTTTTGGAAATGCTTTCCCTGCTCCTATCTTTCCATATGCACCATGCAACACAAGCACACACAATTGGCCAACTGATTCCCTTCCAATCTCTGGTTATCCTTTTTTTAAAATTCAAAGTGATCCAATTATGAATCCCTCCAATACTAATAGGTTCTTCATCATTAAATGCATTGAGAGAATTTCACACCTTTTTGGCTTTTGGACATTCAAAAATCACATGGAGGTATGATTCGTCAGGATGATGGCATCTTGCACATGAGGCAACACTAGTCATATTCCTTGTGACCCTAAGGCTATTTGTGAGAAGTTTGTCAGGTTGTACAATCCATAAGAATTAGTTTAGTTTTTTAGGTAACTTTAATTTCCAAATCCAATCCTAGTGTAGTAAAGGACCATTCCTAGGGTTGGATTTCGAAATTAGGTCATAAGCAACTTTTGTGGAAAATTTTTCATTGTGTGAAAGCCCCCAACAAATAGTATCCTGAAAGTCAACAGATAAAGGACATGGAGAATGAAACAAATCAAACAGAGTGGAGTGAGGAAGGAGAGTGTCTACCTCTTGAAGATTCCAGTTACCTTTGTCATCAATGAAATCAACAACCTTCTTATTGAAGTTCAAACAATCTGGTAGAAGTACCTGCTGCACTAATGGACCCTCACCCCCACCACCAGTCAATCCAAAAATTTATATGAGTTTCATCTCCAATTAACCATTTTGACCCTAGGTCCACCAAAATATTGGTCTTGCCAATAGCTCTCCATATAGGAGAACTATCATGCTTAAGTTTTTGGTTGAAGTTGTCTTGATCAACATATTTATTCTTAATTACATTTACAAAAAGGATTTTTTCTTTAATTTTCACTTTCCAACCCTGTTTAGCGAAGCGGGTAACATTATTATCCCTGCTTCTCCCTAGACCCATCCCTCCTTCTTTTTTAGGGGAGCATACCCTATTCCAATTTAGAAGGTGTACTTTCTTCTTATTAGGTATGTCGCCCCATAAGAAATTCCTATCGCGTGATATAATTATTGAATAATAAATAAATAAGTTTATAAGTGAATTCATAAAGATTTATAACCACTCAATTGATAAAAAAATGGAT